GTAAATATTTCTGGGCATAGTGTAGTGTGGCAATTCTCTCCTCATCAAACGGTAGATGTAGTCCAAAATATCAAACAAATAATACTCTTCTGGGCTGAAAAAATTTGAACATGATTATGGAGAGTAATAACAGTACAAGGTGTGTTTACTTAGGAGTTAACAAAGCCAAGATGGGGATAGCATGACAGATTATAAATAACATTACCTCTGTTTGCCAAAAACAAAGTAAAATGCATAATTCTGATAAAAAGTGTGCAGTGTGAAAAAAGCCTCCACCCCCCTCCCCCCAAAGAAAAAAAACACACACACACCACTACGCCCACTACTTGCTCTGCCATCCCATAATGGGCTTCTTACAATCTTATCAGAGTTTTTATTTTAATGCTGGGTTTACAGCTGCAACAACTTACGACTTTATTCAGTGGGTAATCTGTTGTTGAACTATCTCTTAGATGGTAGTGACCAGCTCTAGTTGTGATTGCTACATACAACAGTTTTGCTTGTATGTATCTGAATCCCATTCCTTTTGCTTGCAGTTGGCAACATCTTGAAGTATTTTAGTTGGACATGTACAGGGAGGAGGGAATTAAACCTTTTCTGGAAAAGTACCACAGGCAAAAATCTACAGTTTGGATTTACTAGAATGAAATCATCAAAACCAAACAGTCGCATTTACACCATAACAACATCCTTGTAGACAAGTATACAATCGTCTTTTTTTTTACCTTACAAGGAAAGCTAAAGGGAAGATAATTTATTGACCCATTCAGGAAGTACACAATGACAGTTGTTGTAATACTTAGGTGTTCACAAATAATATTGGTAGTAACAGTAATATTAGTAACAATGAAGTTACCCAACAAGTTCAAATGTCTGTCCAATGCTGTCATCTTCATGAATGGCATTAACTATTGCCTGGGCTACATCAGCAATCTGGAAAATAAAGTAAGTAAAAAAAAACACAACATAACTAAACAGACAATTCAAGGAAGCACAGAGTTTGCATCTGGTTTTTATCAGATTAGAAAAGACATTGATAAGAAAACTTTCAAAACACAGAAGAGAATGGTTGACAAGCAGGTAAGACACATCCACTCTGAAGCAGTGGCCTTGTTAACATTTAAAACAGTCTTTTGTCAAAAATACAGTTGGGTATTAAATCAAAGTAGTTCTTACATAGACAGGAACTTTAGTTGTTTTCAGTCCACCATCAATCAGAGGAATACCAAGTGGAAGTTTTCTGAGATCTGAATAAAAAAATTAATAAGGAAAACAGTCTGTTTCCATGAAAAAGATTCTCNCAATGACAGTTGTTGTAATACTTAGGTGTTCACAAATAATATTGGTAGTAACAGTAATATTAGTAACAATGAAGTTACCCAACAAGTTCAAATGTCTGTCCAATGCTGTCATCTTCATGAATGGCATTAACTATTGCCTGGGCTACATCAGCAATCTGGAAAATAAAGTAAGTAAAAAAAAACACAACATAACTAAACAGACAATTCAAGGAAGCACAGAGTTTGCATCTGGTTTTTATCAGATTAGAAAAGACATTGATAAGAAAACTTTCAAAACACAGAAGAGAATGGTTGACAAGCAGGTAAGACACATCCACTCTGAAGCAGTGGCCTTGTTAACATTTAAAACAGTCTTTTGTCAAAAATACAGTTGGGTATTAAATCAAAGTAGTTCTTACATAGACAGGAACTTTAGTTGTTTTCAGTCCACCATCAATCAGAGGAATACCAAGTGGAAGTTTTCTGAGATCTGAATAAAAAAATTAATAAGGAAAACAGTCTGTTTCCATGAAAAAGATTCTCCAGAGGCCACTATTATTTTTAATTACACTGATTAACCAGAGTTCCAGATATTTGACAGTGGGCTTTATATTATAAGCAACAATGGTGGCATAGGTAATGAGATTGTCATAAAGTGTTTACAGTGCAATGACTCGAACTAGGGCACTTGGAAAAAAATTATGCAATCACAACATTTCTTGAAAACAAAAGATTCTCAAGTTATTTGCAAACACATAAGTTTAAACAGTTTTAAAGTTTCCAGCAGTTCAAGAGTTTCATAGTTGAACCTTGAACTTTATTGGTCCGTTTGCAAAAACAAACTTGAGAATCTTTTGTTTTCTTACACTTACTTGTAACAAAAGATATGTATTTTTATCTTTTGATGAATAAAGACTTTATTATTACTTTATTATTATAATTCTAAAGTGTTGTGGTTGGATAATCTTCTTCCAAGTACCCTGGTTCCAGAAGTCACACTGTAACATGTCTTCGATATAATTTCCTGCGGGAAATTCACATATTAGTAGTAGTGCAGTGATGGCCAAAAAATGTACCATTGTGCATTGTGCAATGTGTATTGTCATTGCTAAATTTGCCTAATATTGTTTAAAAACCACAGAAATACCTTTTTTGTCTCTATACAAATTCGGTTTCTTAGGGCACTTCCTTGGTGTTGAGGATAAAAGCTTAACAAAAATTTCCAAAACATCACAAAGCACCCTACATTAATTTGCATTCCATTAATCTTACCCTTTACCCTGTCCCTGTAGAAGGTAAATTAACTTGTAAGCAAGTTGTTTCTCTTTAAAGGCAAAGAAAAGGTATATTCAGCTTTATGCACAGCTTACATGCATAGTAGTTTAAGAAATGATCCTCATGGCCAAAACATGTAGCTGGTCGCAGTATGGTAGCATCTGGAAACTCCTCTCTTACGGCAGCCTCTCCACGAGCCTGACATAGGAACAAAACACAGTAAACACATTGTACAGTCACACCTCTTTGATTTACAGACACCAAAGGGACATTATTAACCAAGTGTCTACATTACAGAGGCATCTGTATTATGGCTCAGGTAGAGATTGTATGAAGTTTGATATCTTCTGGATCAAGAGAACTGTCCATAGGTTTTCATTACTGTACCAATTTAGAGGTTGTTACTTAGCTAGGAGGGTAAACTGCCAATAACTTCCCACAAGTATTGGTCAAGAATCACAGAAGAAACAAATCAATATTTTTACAACCAAATCCCAGAAAAATAACCACAGTGTTAAAAAAGACAAAATTCTGAAAAATAAAAGCAATACAGAAACATTTTAGCATAATTATACAGTGGTTAAATCCTTTGGCCATGGCCAGTGAGATGTAGCAAAAAAACACATTTTTTTCAACATTTACTCTTATTTGGACTGGTTTTTGGCAAATTTGCATGGGAATGGCAAAAAATGAGTTTTGCAACAATAAGGGCATATTTTCTGGCTAATCTGATGTAATTAAGTAGCTTTTTTGCTTGTGGCACATGTGCATATGAAGCCAAAATTTGTATTGTCTTCTTTTGTTTTTCTTTTTTTTTATGAATCTATAATAATTTCGATCTTTCTTTCTCTCTCTCTTTTTTCCCTTACTTTTCTTTGCTTTTATGAGGTTTTGTTACCCACTTTATTGCCTTTTTTGCATGAACTTGTGGCTGGCAAACGTTTTAGATAGGGAAGGGACAAATTCATTCCACAAAGAGTAGTATGTAAATAGAGAAATCAGCTAGTCAATTTTTCTCCAAGATGCTACTTGGTATTTTTGAGTAACTCTGTCAAAATTGGTCACAATTTCCAAAATGAGTAACTAGTGGAAAGATCTACATTGTTTCTTTGCTGATTCTGCCGCTTACCGAGTTAAAAGCTTAAACTAGAAGCTTTCACGCTTTCAGTTTAAGATATTAAGCTATTTTCCTTCCACATGCATCGTTCTATATGGACCAAAAACTACCAAAGTGGTCATCAAAGGGTAAACTGAAGATGACATAAATTGTAAAATATTTAAAAGACGTCATTGAACATTAAGTGCTCAAATCATTATGAGTCAATCTACTATTTTTTTGACTGTTTAGGAAGTAGTTTCACCTTGGACTGTAGAAATTTTGATGGGCTGTCTTCATTAGCATTGAGTGCTGAGACATGGATCAATCGTTTGACTCCAGCTTCTTTTGCAGCTTTAGCTATAACTCTTGCTCCTGTGTTGTGTACATCATCAAAAGAAAAGTTCCTGTAGAGATACAGTATTTATTCAATTAAACACCACCGCACAGATGGAAGCAAAATAACCAATAAACTCCCCCCTCAAATAAATGCCGCAACTAATCAGAAGAATGCGGCACTTACTCGACAATAACAAGAAAAACTTTGGTATAACTTGGTAATTACACCATCCACGGCAGACATTTACGTTTCTATCTCAGCAAAATAAGGGAGACATTGGAACCTTTAAAGTACATAATATTTACAAATGATTTACAACAACAGTACTGTTGTCAGAGATTATAAAAAAGTAATTTTGAAATAAACGCCACCCTTTAATAAACGCTGCACTGGAAACACTAAAAACTTAACAAGCGTCGCAGCGTTTAATCGAATAAATACGGTACAGCATTTATCCTTTACCCTCTAGTAAATTTATAGTGTGAAATAAATCCCAATCAACACTGATTTTAATCATGTAACAGGTATTTTGATATTCTTTGTAGAAATAGAGCATCAACATCATCGTCAACATAACAATTATTTTAGTATTACCATGTATACCTTGTTTCATATTGTCTACCAACCAAGTTAATGACACAGTTAGAATGTGTCAACATTTTAGCCACAGATTCAGCATCCTTGAGGTGATAATCCTGTGAAAATTAATTTCAAGACATGGCTGTATTGAGTACTAACTNATCATCAAAAGAAAAGTTCCTGTAGAGATACAGTATTTATTCAATTAAACACCACCGCACAGATGGAAGCAAAATAACCAATAAACTCCCCCCTCAAATAAATGCCGCAACTAATCAGAAGAATGCGGCACTTACTCGACAATAACAAGAAAAACTTTGGTATAACTTGGTAATTACACCATCCACGGCAGACATTTACGTTTCTATCTCAGCAAAATAAGGGAGACATTGGAACCTTTAAAGTACATAATATTTACAAATGATTTACAACAACAGTACTGTTGTCAGAGATTATAAAAAAGTAATTTTGAAATAAACGCCACCCTTTAATAAACGCTGCACTGGAAACACTAAAAACTTAACAAGCGTCGCAGCGTTTAATCGAATAAATACGGTACAGCATTTATCCTTTACCCTCTAGTAAATTTATAGTGTGAAATAAATCCCAATCAACACTGATTTTAATCATGTAACAGGCATTTTGATATTCTTTGTAGAAATAGAGCATCAACATCATCATCAACATCACAATTATTTTAGTATTACCATGTATACCTTGTTTCATATTGTCTACCAATCAAGTTAATGACACAGTTAGAATGTGTCAACATTTTAGCCACAGATTCAGCATCCTTGAGGTGATAATCCTGTGAAAATTAATTTCAAGACATGGCTGTATTGAGTACTAACTAGCTTATTATTAGACACAATAACCTTCATCTTGGAAGTACAAAATAATGAAAGGGACAAGAATAAGAGCAATGCCTTAAGACATGGTAAATGCAGTTATTTAAAGATTCTGAGTGTTGTTCAGGCCGGGGTTTGAACCCACGATCTCCCACTCAGTAGATCAGCCCTCTCCCAACTGAACTAACCAGGCAACGGTCAAGTTCTCGTAGGGCAAGTCCCAATTCCTCAAAACAAAAATTATCAACAAATTGTTCAAGTACACCACACCTCAAAAGAGCAAAATAAAGCTTTACATTAAGAAAATCACTTTTTCAAGATAAAAACAGAAGATTCTTTAGGAACTAATCCTATGACTTACAAAAAACATTATTTGTCCCAGATCCCCCATAAGCCTGAGGTGCCTGTAGTCATACTCATCTCCACGATATGGCACAATGATCTGATTTCCACCACGCCCTGTGAAAAGAGGGTGCACCATTTTAGACAATGGAAAGATGTTAACACAAGAAGCAAAAACTTAATCAGTCAGACACAGCAAAATAGGGATGGGTTCTTGACATGTTTCATGTGTGCTTGCAGTGTACAAGAAAGAGTAGCCTTAATAACCATACAAACGTAGTGAGTAAGAAGACTACTTCAACTGTTGACACATCCAGATTAAGCTCCACCATGATCTGGGTCACCACATTTTGCCTTAGCCGTACATGCACACTTTTAAGACTGGAATTTACAAAGAACAATGAACAGCACAAATTTTCTCCCTCACAGCTGATGGCTGAATTACACAGGATCAAGAAAGATAAAACTGGACATTGCCAAAATGATACAGGTGCCCTCTGCTTCTGCATCAGGCCACGTAAGATCTAAACACTGTCCCCCTTGATCCTGAGATAACTGAGCAGTGGCTAATGAACATAGAAAACTACTTTATATATACACTGTACTAGGCAGTATCACTTGAGCACTCAAACAAGTTTGTAGCCCCATTCAGCTGTAATTACCTAGTCTATTGAGGACATATCGTCCTAAAAAGCCAGTACTGCCAAATACAGTTGCAACCACTCCACTAAAAGAGGATCTTCCTCCAGGACCTGCCTTTGGCAAGTAGCTGACATTTCTCTAAGATAACATAAAAAAAACTAAATTAGTTAACATAACAGATGCAATATTTTTAGAAGGTAATCCTATTGNTGGGTCACCACATTTTGCCTTAGCCGTACATGCACACTTTTAAGACTGGAATTTACAAAGAACAATGAACAGCACAAATTTTCTCCCTCACAGCTGATGGCTGAATTACACAGGATCAAGAAAGATAAAACTGGACATTGCCAAAATGATACAGGTGCCCTCTGCTTCTGCATCAGGCCACGTAAGATCTAAACACTGTCCCCCTTGATCCTGAGATAACTGAGCAGTGGCTAATGAACATAGAAAACTACTTTATATATACACTGTACTAGGCAGTATCACTTGAGCACTCAAACAAGTTTGTAGCCCCATTCAGCTGTAATTACCTAGTCTATTGAGGACATATCGTCCTAAAAAGCCAGTACTGCCAAATACAGTTGCAACCACTCCACTAAAAGAGGATCTTCCTCCAGGACCTGCCTTTGGCAAGTAGCTGACATTTCTCTAAGATAACATAAAAAAAACTAAATTAGTTAACATAACAGATGCAATATTTTTAGAAGGTAATCCTATTGCTCAAAACAAAATTTTAACAAAATTTGTTAAACAGAATGGAGCAAGGTGGTAAAAACAAAGAAGTGGCACATAAGCCATAGGTGAGTGTGTCACTGATGTTTTTACCACATTTTGACGTCATCTGTGATCTATTACTGAACAGACCCAAGGCAAAATGGAATCTTTTTGTTTTATACAATGATCAGAAAAGAATAAGAATAAGACGGATACACATACCCGCCTCGTACCGCTTGACTGTTCGAGGATTTATGCTTGTTTAGGCATTTTTTAAGTCCCACACACTACTTTTTGTCCTTGCTTCTTCTTTTTTTCCTTATCTTACTTGTAAACAGTTTCTTCAAAAGGTTTTCAACGTCTTCACTTGCTCAAAGCAGAAATGCCGAAAATATTTTGCAAAACAGCGAGACTCTCGTAGCGAATATGACACACGATGGCAACTGTTGTGAAGTTTTCTTGCATGCAGTATAGGCATTCTCAAGTTGTTAAGAACTCTTTTTGTCTCTGTTTTTCCATTTTCTTTCTTTGTAAATAGCTCCTGCTCAACTTTTTTTGAGGCTTTCACTTGCTTAATCTGAAAAAATCTCACAAACATTTTCGAAACCGCGTGCCATGTTGAACAATACAAAGAAAACAAGTTTTCCATGACCTCCTCCATGTACATGTATCTGTAAGTTCTAATAGATCATGGGTAATGACCAATCACAGCAGGCATTGATTCACATCATTGTTTAAAGTTAAAAAGTCAACCTGGTTGAATCTTTCTTCAACAGAGACTTTTCTCTGGGTTCACTGGTTTTCCTCTCTCCACAAACCTAACATTTCTAAAATTTGATAATTAATTTTATTGATCAGACAGTTTTTTAACACAATAATTTTATCTGTCATACCATCATGAAATATGTTAAATATGATGTGTGATAAAGTTATGATAATGGTAATTAATAACATGGTATCTATTAGAGCTGTCATAGAGGGCTACAACCTGGAACACCTGTCACGGCTGAGCTCATTAGGTGTTGTACGTGGTTTAAGTGGAAAACTAAAAGTGACACATTTTTATGTTTGTATGAGTGAACCTTCATTTCCTACAACTGCTTCAAAACTTATAACATGCCTGTCTATCACCCACCTGACAAGAAATAGCTAGCCCAAAAACTGGTCTTGCTGGAGAGCCTACATCCAGAAAAGTGAAAGCAGTGATTTACATGTGCTAAACTTTTACATTGCACTTTAATATGTAGCGGAAATGGGAAAGAGAGCTGAGAAAAAGCAGCAGGTAAGATCTGCATGCTAAATAGAAGATCAAAAGAAATGCTCATGAACCTAGATCACTAGTCTTACAACAAGTCTAAGCAAGCACTTTTAAAATAACTATTTTCGGACAACAACTGTAATATTATTACTAATACAAGGCGGCCAACCTCTGGAGATCAAAATTCTGGAGAATGTGTCTTTTGCGTTACCACCCCCCCACCCCCCCTCCCAAAAAAAAAATATATATCAACGACAAAAGGACCAAATTATAAAGGACTACATGGCACACGGCACACACTTGCCAACCCCAAAAGACAAAAAAGGTGAGATTCTGAACCTAGAGCTGGGAAAAGTAGTGAGAAATTGGTAAAAAGTCATGAGATGTTCCAAATTTTCTAGTGGAAGGACTTTCAGTGGAGATTATGGGTATTGGAAGTCATTACATCACTTTTAAGATAGAGCAGTAAACATCAGGATAAATTTTGCGATTTATATTATTTAGATTTTGTAATATCTCTCGTTTGTTGGAGCCATCTTGAAACAAGAGAAATGGTAAGTCTGCTCATTTGGTGGCAGTAGCAAGTCACCATTGGCTAAAAGAATAAAATCAAACACAACCACTAAGCACTTTCTTTGGGTTTAGCTGGCTGTCTATTGATATCTAACTTTGAAATGAACCCTACAATTACAAAATTTTTTGGAGTTTGACTTTTTTGAGAAAGTGTAAGAAGTCAGTTGCCAACTCGTGAGAGCGTGAGACAGGTCCTACAATCCTGAGACTCATGAGACTTTGCAAGTCTGGTGGTGGTCTATGGTGGCCCACAACTGTCACGGCAAAACCAAAAACCTCACGGCAAAAACAAAAACATCACGGCAAAACCAAAAACCTCACGGCAAAAACAAAATACCTCACAGCAAAACCAAATACTTCACAGCAAAAGCAAAATAGCTTTGGTTTTGCCGTGGGTATTTGCTTTTGCCATGAGGTATTTGGTTTTTGCCATGAGGTTTTTGGTTTTGCCGTGAGGTATTTTGTTTTTGCCATGAGGTTTTTGGTTTTGCCGTGACAGTTGTGGGCCACCGTAGTGGTCAGAAGACAGTGTCTACAATTTTGCAACTATTTTACAGATTGCAATACATAACCAAATGGCCCACATCATATTTTAAAAATTTATTTACATTTTTTCTGGAAAAACGGTGGGTTCCTTTTTTTTTCATTTGAGAGTGTTGCTAGAAAAATTAGTTCCTTGAAAAAATAAGATTCTTACGGAAAGCTTATTTATCGCGCACTTCTTATTTACTAAGGTTGAAGTTTCAAAAATATTAGATCAGCTGAGTTCAGTTCGTTTAAAAAAGCACATAGCAAATGCTTATCAAGTTACCACGCATGGGCTTAAATCTTTATAAAAAATTGTCCTAGATTATACAGTGCATTTTTGCAGCAAGCATTGTTAATCAAAGTTAAATAACGATACTTACCACACAGCTTCTTAAAACCTTGGCTTACAAACATGGCGGCGACCAACAAACTACGCCCGCGTTCAATCGGGTCAGTTTATCCACCATTGTTAAATTTGAAGGCAGGAGGGAGTCATAAACTAAGGCCTGGGCACTAGAGCAGATATTGGCGAATGAAAATCCGATGTGTCTGGCCAGCGTGACGTCACGTTCAAGCCCGCCCGGGAAGGTTTGAAAGAAGGTAAACAAAATGCTTGTCGTGAAAACTTCACGGTCCAATTTCTCAGTAACAGTAGAGCAAATCATTTCAACCACTAAAGCGAAGCTATAGATGTTATCATTTAAAGTATCAATAAATGAATTTTAACCTGAAAACAAAAAACACGCTGGCCACAAGACTCAAAAGAGTTGACAAACGCTCCTACCGATCGATAAAAATCATCACCAAGATCATCTTTAATGGCCTGTAACTCAGAAACGCCACAATACTGCGCTTGGGGACAAAAATATAAGTCACATAGGTCAAAACTCTTTCTCATTTTTGAAAAATTAAATCTCATAACAATTTCATAAAAATGATCAGTGGCTTTAAACACTACTTTCCGCAGGTACCTTGCGAGTCAGCCGCGAAGGGCAAGAGAAATAAGCCAGTTAATCCAACAATAAAGCTCTCGAATTGAAACGAGTAATACGATTAATTCGAGGGTATCTTTTTATGTCAATGTTTGGACTTGAGAGGGGCTTGAATACAGTTTAAGTCTACAAATTGCCTAAGAAATATGTTACACCCATACTACGTTTATAGCCAGTTGGGCTGACGCAAGATTCTACAGGAGCCTTCCACTGAAAACAATACCTTCAAGAAAAAATCAGAATCAAAACAATGGCGTTTATAAATAGGTGGAAAATATCTCAGAATTGGGAACAGAACGCTAAGGCTAGTGACTCGGCGATTTGAACATTTTCACTTCGAACCTGGACAGCGACATTGAAGCTTACTTGAAAACGGCTTACGACCTGAAGAGACAGTTCTTGAAGGTACCAAATCGTGTATCAATGAGAGGACAAATATTCTGTCAAGGTTCAGCTATACCGTTCAATCTTTCCCCCCAAAAAAATGGTAATAAGGACGCCTTTAAAACTGGTCAATAAACGCTCGAAATGTGGAGTAACGTTTCCATGGGGGTCCGCATATTCCAACTATCAGTGCAGATTCAAGCATTTCACCTAAACTACATTGTACATGCTTGGATTGCCGAAGCTATTCGGGTGTAAGTTTTTCGTTGGTAAATAATAATTGCTCCTCAGAGGTAAGTATATAAGGAAACTATTTCCCAAGTCTGTTGTTATGTGGGAGTATATCTACCTCACTTGAAATTATGCTTCTAGAGCTGATACCCAAGTATCCCAGCAACAAAATACTTATAGTGTAAATCTTTTATTAACACTTTTTCTTTACTTTCCATGGAACTATGCAAGATAATCTTACTAAATAAAAGAAAAAGTCAGGAAAAATGTCTAGACAGGTCATATGACTTAAGACAGTACAAGAGGCACTAGAGCTGGACAAAAATAATCAAATTAAACAAAACATTTTGGGTTGTAGTTTCAGGTCACTAAAAAATACAACTGGAAATCTGTCTGCATTCTCAGGCTAAAGCTTCCAGTTATGAATTGACTTGAAGGCTATGGCGGTTAAAACACATTATTCATTATTTTTCTTCTAAAATCCTGTCTGTGAGCAGTTTCACCAAAATAATTTCTAGGTATAAATCCTCATCACATTGTCAATAACAACAAAAAGAACAAGTAGATGATCAAATGTTATGTTCTGGAGTGACCATAAATGTGTTGATCGAACGATGATGTAGAGGCCAAGAGAATAAGTAATAATGAGAGGCCTGCCAGTCTAGTCTCCAATTCTGTTTACATGTAAGAGATGTAAGCTTGGAAACGTCGTTGGTCTAAGTAGTGTTAATCCTGTAGAAAAAACAGAAAATGATTAGCATTACCAATACACCTTTCTAGTCCATACCACCATAGATACTACTGAAAACCTGTTTAAGATTTATATACTGTTGTATATAGTTAGATAGACTGATTAGTTACTCTTAGTGACAAAGTAAGCGAGTAAAGGATGCAGTGTTTAAATGCATCAGTCAATTGAAACCCTTCTCCCCCTTCCCCCCTCCCCCCAAACCTCTGGCGCATAGCGGGGATTTAATGCAGCCAATGTCAGGATTTAACACATATTTAACAACATACTGGCCCTGTGTGCAGTGGAATTAACAAAATTCCTGCTTCAGCCAATAAAATAACACCTGATGCATTCATTTAACAAGCTGTTAACCGCCCCCTAATTTACATAATGTAACGTCTGCTTGACCTGTCATGTTATTAGCCAATAAGCGTTTACCACACGGGAATCATATTTTAATGTCTCTTTTGAAATAAATTTTAGGGAAAAGAAAATTTTTAAGTACGTCAATGTTCAGGTGGTGCTTCCTAAAAAGAATTTTTAAATGTGTTGTTTTTGTGATGAAATACTGCTAGCTGGAGCTGCCGTACCTTTATTTAACAGCTAAAAATAATAAAGAATTTACAGGTTAAAGCTCGTTGACTTCGTTCTGTGCCGAAAGCAGTGAAAAAAAAAAATTAGGCTGACACAGCATATTTACGAACTGAAAGGTGTTGTGAAAGCGAAGATCGCTCAGAATAATTCGCAGGTTTCTGAAGGAGGAATTACCGTCAATCAAGGTCAAGATTCCATTCATGAATTGATTATTTGACAAGGGAACCCGTTTGTCGTTTCTCTAACTTGTAGCCAGTATCAAATTGCATTCAAATGATCGGTGAATTTTTGACTGCAACTTTTTAGTATACGATGAGATGGAAAATATGAAATTTCTATTTAGGCATTCCTCAAATTCAAGAAAACTGAGGCGGCAGAAATTTTATAACAAACTCGCGTGTGAATTCACTGCTCATTACGCAAGCAAAAATGCAGCCTGAAATCAACCGGATGGCGGCATTTTGGCCAATTGGAGCAGCGCAAATCATCCGCATTGTTTCCTATCCAATCAGAAAAAAGTCCAGATTCTGGCTTTTTTACATGTGATCCGACAAAGAAATGTATCATGCCATCTTCCCGTGAGAGACATAAAGGGATAATAGGGAGAGGGCATGATCTCAGGCTAACCGACAGATGGAAGCACTGTTAACAATTACAAAGTTCAGCTAGTGGATGACATTTCTCATGAATTTGATGGAATGTCGTTGAGAGTTTCTTTTAACAGGTCCATTGGTTTGAAAATAAAACTAATAAATACAGAGTACCAGACGGAAGAGAGCGGTTTAAATCAAACCTAGAACTACAACTACTAATTCCCTGCCATAAGGTGCTTTTAACAAACTACTTGGCCCGGGAAGGGAAAAAATTAGTGGTGTTAATGTTAAATTCCCCGCTAAGTCTCAGGGATCAGGAGGCCGGGGTTTCAATTGACTGATGCATTATACTACCAGATGTTGAGAGGGTATTGAAAGTGAAATACAGTGTACATACGTGTACACATGCAGGCTTGATAGTGCGGTTTAAAATTATCCTGTTGGTCTCTTGTTTCAAGAGTGTTACCCCCCACCGCCGGGGCTTTCCTAATATATAATTTAACTTTCAGAAGGTGTACAAAAATTTACAAGGGCTAAACAAATATTTAGATTAAATATGGTACGTAGTGCCTCAAAAAGAGTGAACTTCTTCACGATCGGGCTTTTACGAGGTCATAATAAGCTTAACAACTCAGTATACTTCTATACGTCTTACTGAAGAACCGAAATAACTACAAAACAGCTCATTTATAACAAATTTTCGTAACCAACCTCACTTCAACAAGATTGCAAAATTATAACGGAGGAAACTGATTCGAATAAATACACTGATCATTTTTGTGGTTCATTCCCTGACATTTATTATATGCTATATGGATTCTGTGAGATATAAACTACTTTGGAGCGAAGCTACAAGTTTTCTCATGCTTTTTATCCAGGGAAAAACGGGTTTTTGTCGAGCGAAAGGTCGCACCGCACTCACATAATTTTCCCAACTTGGAGACTCACCTAAACCCTTCAGAAACCTTTTTTGCAGAACTTTCACGTAGTAATCAAAATGCACTTACCTCTTCCGTTGGAATATAAGGTAATGGTATCCTCGATCAAAAGAGAAACCACATTGCTGCTTCATGATACGGGAAAAAATAAGCTCAAAGTGTTCACATGAAAAACAATAACACCGCCATTTTCGAAAATTCTGCTCGTCGCACGCTTCACTTTGCTGTGACGTCACGATGGCCAGGCACATCGGACAGCCGCGCTCACGAGTTTATGACTCCCTCCTGTTTGAAGGTAATGTAAGGGCGTGTTTACATGACACCCGGCGACTTTCGCGTAAGCCGGAGATCACTCCCCAGGCTGAGATACCGCCACAAAATGTCATGCCGGCGCGAGTCACCGGGGCGAGAATTTCACTCCGGTACGAAATCTCGCCACAGTATCATGTAAACGCGAAACGACCACTCGTTTCGGTGTCAAATCGGTCTGCCGGTAGACTGGAACGGATAGCGCATGAGTACTGTTTGCGATTTTGAACCACGCATGTATTTTAATTAACATGAAGTGTACCTATGAAATGACCCAGTCATCATGTAAACGGGATACGAAATCAAAAAGTCATCCGGGTATAAAACTAGCTGTAAACTAACAGTCGTGCGCTATTAAAAGCAACTGTTGTGATACAGACAGTGGAACTATTCCCGGGAACTATTCTTTCCACGCACGAAGTTTTTTGGGAGGTTCCTCAATCCGTGTACCTTAGTGCCAACCACTTTTCGATGGCATAGGAAAATGGAATTCAAATTTCACTTAAATTTTTCGTTTTCGTCTAACTTTGAAAAACGGATTTGAACTTCGTATCTCTTTTTCGTTTTCGCATCACTTTGAAAAATGGATTTGAATTTCGTTTTTCGTTTTTGCATTGCTTGTTATTGAAAAAAAGATTGGTGT